TGCTGACCCGCCTCCTCCTGGGGGATCGGCGCGAGGTCACTTCCGGACAAGGTCATCTGAGAGCCGTTGGAGACCGAGTGGAGGCTGTTCCTGGGGTGGGCGATATAATGCTGGCGTTACGGGGGTGTTCGTTAACATGGTGGAGGGGTGTTTTCATTATGAATGGATGTCTCATTTTGGTGTGTTGCGTTTTCTGTGTGTGTGTGATTTCGGTGAAACTGAGTTGTGGGTTTCTATTTTAAATCAGTTGCGATGGTAATGGTAGGGTTTTAGCTTATCGAAATTTTGATACTTTTAAATCATACATATTACATTTACATATTCTTTTCCATTAATATCCAGCTCCGTTAATGAATAACAAAAATGGTCCTTTAGGTTAAATGCTTGCGCCACCCACGCATTCGAATTGTCTCACCTCCCATGGTTCGCTTACCGTACCGAGACGCTCCATCGCAACAGAACAATTGAACAAACCGTGAACGTGCCTGGATAATCTTCCTAGTTCGTCCCACTGGAGATTCCTCACGTCCCTGCTTGAACTGGAGCCACTTTTGTGATCATGCAAGTCGTACCGGTTCATACCAGCGTTCCCGCGCCGGATTGTACCGTACGTCTCAGCTGGAAGGCAATGAGGTTATCACATTCAGTGTGGGAGCTTCGTAGGCAATCGTCTGGCAGAATGAATAATTAGCAAGGTGAGGCTCATATGTTAGGAACGGGTAATGTAGAATTTAGTGTCAATCACGTTTCGTTTTATTTTATATTAATTCTTTGTCTAGTGATTGCACTCGTAACTTTACATTCCTTCACCCTTATACCATTACTGCAATTCATTGTTATTCATCTGTCACATTTAATCATTAAAAAATATGGGAGAGTAGACTAAGAATCTATATATTTGAAGTGAAATTTATTTCATCGGCGTCTAAAGTTTTGAGTATATATGAATTTAAAAAAAGTTTTAAACAGTACATTTCAGTATATAACAATATGTATCATGTAAATTTAACGAATAATCTAAGTTTTACACGATACATTTCAGTATATAACAAAATGTATCATATAAATATAACGAATATTCTGTTTTACACGATACATCTCAGTATATAACAAAATATATCATATAAATTTAACGAATAATCTAAATTTAACACCATACATTTCAGCATATAACAAAATGTATCATCTAAATTTAACGAATAATCTAAGTTTTACACGATACATCTCAGAATATAACAAAATGTATCATGTAAATTTAACGAATTATCTAAGTTTTACACGATACATTTCAGCATATAACAAAATACATCATATAGATTTAACGAATAATCTCGTATTCCCTCCAGCGCCTCCCCGCGCCATGCCTACCATTCTGATAGGGCTGCCGCTGCGTCTTGGCTGCCTTCCTCGCCGCCTTGCTCATGGTGCCGTAGAGGGAGGACGCGCCCTGGGCTTCCTCCGACAGCATGAACGGCTGCGTGTAGGCTGCCATCGAAGCCGAGGACACCTGGCGCTGCAGGACGACGCCGCCAGGCCCTCTGCGCTCGCCGGCGGGAGGAGTGCTGGCCAGGCTTTGCCGCGAGGGAGGGCGTCGCGGGCCCTTGTGTTGGCTCGTCGAGGACCACGTGGACCTGCGGCTGGAGAGGCTCGCCGTGTCGGACTCTGGGGGGGGGGGGGGGGGGGGGAGGCTCATGAGACTCATGAGTCTTTTCTACGATCTCTCTCTCTCTCTCTCTCTGTCTCTGTCTCTGTCTCTGTCTCTCTCTCTCTCTCTCTCTCCTCTCTCTCTCTCTCTCTCTCTCTCTCTCTCTCTCTCTCTTCTCTCTCTCTCTCTCTCTCTCTCTCTCTCTCTCTCTCTCTCTCTCTCTCTCTCTCTCTCTCTCTCTCTCTATATATATATATATATATATATATATATATATGTGTGTGTGTGTGTGTATACATATATATATATATATATATAATATATATATATATATATATATATATGTGTGTGTGTGTGTGTGTGTGTGTGTGTGTGTGTGTGTGTGTGTGTGTGTGTGTGTGTGTGTGTGTGTGCGTGTGTGTGTGGTGTGTGTGTGTATTTAAAAATAGTAAATCTATTTACCTGTTTATCTATGCATCTATGTTTATATCTATATATATACATACACACGTATGTGTGCTTGTGTAATGTATGTATAATTCCAAGGTCCCGGATTACATTTTCAGTAGTAGATGTTTCGGCAAATCACGTCACCAGCTTTTCATTATTTACGCTTCGTTTATTGCAACTAAAAATTAATTCAAGCTCCATGTGTAGACGGATCGTTACGTTACTTGCAGATAAGTGATGGGCATCCCCACGACGTCAGGTGCGGCGGCGGCCGCGAGCTCGCTGGCTCATGCCGGACGCTTGCATTGCGATAACGCACACATATATGCACAGATACACACACGCTCTCTCTCTCTGCTCTCTCTCTCTCTCTCTCTCCTCTCTCTCTCTTCGTCTCCTCTCTCTCTCTCTCTCTCTCTCTCTCTCTCTCTCTCTCTCTCTCTCTCTCTCTCTCTCACCCACTCGTATGCACACAAACAAGCGTACGTACACAAGCACACACACAGAAACAACGTACATTACACAAACATAAATGCACAGGAAACAAACGAAGGGAAGGACAAGAAAACGCACGAATATGTCAATGCGAATATGGGGGATTCGATATCCTTCCCTCGTTGTTCCTGTTGCAATCTGTTTATCATGAATATTCGCGCAAACAACACGCACACACGCACACACGCAACACACACACACACACACACACACACACATAAACAGTTTCCAGATTATGTTCCTTACATCCTCACCCACACAGTCATCAGTAATCATCATCATTATCATCATTATCCATTCATCTGCATCGGTGACTTACCGCGTGACCTGGCCCGCTGCCCCATGTCCGTGAGCGAAGCCCTGGGGTCGCCGCCGCCCGCGCTCTCGCTGAGGACCTGCGGGGGCGGCGGAGGTGGTTCACTGTCCAGGTCGTAGTCCGGAGGAGGAACGGGCGCCTGGAAGTCGTCCGGAGGGGGAAGAGGCGCCTGGAAGTCGTCCGGAGGAGGAAGAGGCGCCTGGAAGTCGTCCTGAGGGGGCGGCGGAGGCGGCGGGAGGGCGGACATGTCATAGTCGACGGGAGGCGGAGGAGGAGGAGGCAGGATGTCGAGGTCGTAGTCTTCTGGCGGAGGCGGCGGCGGGGGCGGGAGGTCGGCCATCTTGGGGAGTCAAGGCGTCGCTCGAGAGAACTTGGAAGGTTTTATTTCGTCTTAAACTTTAAGCGTGTTCTCGCTTTCATCTCTCGTTTGTTCTTATTTTTGCTCTTTGGTAGTGGCGTCAATAATAAATTTCAAATTCCGCTTTTTCACGATCACATATGTGCTGAACACTAATTAAAATTCAAGTTCCACTGGAAATTCAAGTTAAATATCAGTAACCACACAGAAAAGAAATGAAATACAATGCTATTTATTCTTCGGAAATGAGTCACGAGTGAATAATTCCTATTTCTGATCCTTACACCATCTCGAAGAAAACGGGAGTGGCTGGAATCCGTTTTCTGTGAGACCTTAAAAAAATGATAATATTTACAAAACAACCGTCTTACTATCAGCAATTTCAAACCATAAACAGTTTGTCAAACACTGGCTCTCGAATTCCACCCATTTCCTCCTTTTCTGATATTTTATGTCTTTAAGCGATCTGTTGCGGTTATAGAACCTTTAGTCAATATCTGTTGACATTATCATTGTAGTTTTGATTATAATGTTATCACACTAGAATTTATTTTACTGTTATTGTTAACCGTATAATCATTATCATTATCATGATTACGATAGTAATTTGATAATTATCATGATTATCACTACTACTGTTATTACTTCCGCCAAGGACGTTATGTTTTCGGTAGATTATGTTAGTTTGTTTGTTCGTTGTTTGGTTACCAAGATTACAAAGAAAGTTATTAAATATCATTTAATTTTGATTGTGATCCGGATCCAGGATTTAAAAAATAATATTCATTAGCATTGCAAAATAAGGGCATTTTTTAAAAATTATTCATTAGCATTGCAAAATAAGGGCAATTTTTTTTATAAATTATTCATTAGCATTGCAAAAAAATGGCGACTTGAACTTTTTGGCGCTTAAATGATATTTCTGTTTTATCAATAACCCTATTACGTTGGCAGAGGTATGCGTTCTCTGAGTGCTTTTAGTTATTTTTTTTATTATCATTATTATCAATGATGATAACAATAACAGTGATGTTATAATGAAAATGTAAATTATATTACCCCTACTGCTACTACTACTACTATTACTACTACTACGCTTAGTAATAATGATGATAATGATGATAATATTGATAATAATGATAGGAATCATGATAATGATAACAATAACAATAATGATAATAAATAATAAATAATAATACTATAAAATAATCAAATTAATGATGGTAATCATAAGTAGGATAATATCAATAATAATAAATAAAATAAAATAATAATGACAATAATAATAATAATAATAGTAATAATGATAACAATAATAATGATAATGATAATGAAAATTATAATAATGAAAAATATTAATAACAACAAACGAAATATTGATAATAATAACAATAATGCTCACGATAATAATGATAATATAATAATAATAATAATAATAATAATAAAATAAATAATAATAATAATAATAAATAATAATAAATAATAATAATAATAATAATAATAATAAAAAATAATAATAATAATAATGATAATGATAATAATAATAATGATAAAGATAAAATAATAATCATGAAAATTTTAATGACAATAATGAAATAATGATAATAATGATAATAGTAATAACAATATAAATTATAATAATAATAAATAATATAATAATAAAAATGATAATAATGATAATGAATATGATGATGATGACGATGATTGATAAGATGAATGATGATGACGATGATTGAATAATGACAATGATAAATGACAATAATGACTGATAATAATAATAATGACAATGATAATAATAATAATGACAATGATAAGAATAATAACTATAATAATGATAATAACAATAATGATAATAATAATAATAATGGGGATAATACTAATCCTAATACTAGTAAAAATAATAATGATTATGATCATAATGATAATGATGACAATGATAATGATAAAAGAATATAAATAGTAATAATGATAACGTAAACAATGGTAATAATAACAATGATAAGTGTTATTATCATAACAATAATAATAATAACAATCATGATAATACTAACAAAAAATAATTCACTAATAATGTACTAAAACTATTAATGATAATAATAGTAATATTAAATTTAATGAAAAAAATAATAACAATAATAATAACATTTGTAATAACAATAATAATGATAATAAAAATGATAACAATGATAATGATAAAAATAGTGATAATAATAATGATAATAATAACAATGATAATGATAAATACTATTCACAATAATGAACTGATAATTATAGGAGGAATAAATGGTAAGTAAAAATGGTGTTAACGATAATGGAAATAACAAGAATGGAAAGAATAATGGTAATAATAATGATAATGATAATAAAAAGAATAATAGTGATAACAATAACAATAACAACATAATAGTAAAAAACTAACTAATTGATAAATGAATGTGATAATAATAATGATGATAATATAATAATGATTATATAATAAATAATTATAATAATAGTAATAATAGATAGTGAGAGATGATGATTAAAATAATAATAATAATAATAATAATAATAATAATAATAATAATAATAATAATAAAATAATAATAATAATAATAATAATAATAAATATAGTAATAATAATGATAATAATAATAAAAAATAAAACAAATAAAATAATAATAATAAAATAATAAAATAATAATATAATAATAATAATAAATAATATAATAATAAAATAATAAAATAAATAATAATAATAATAATAATAATAATAAAAACAACAATAATAATAACAATAATAATAATAATAAAAATAATGATAATAACAATGATAATGCTACAACTATTACTTCTACTAATTAGGATAATAATGAATGATGAAAATGATTATGATATACCAATAACAATAATGATAATGATAATAATGATAACATAATAAAAGATTATAAAATAATGATGATGATGATGATGATGAATAATAATAAATACTAACATGATAATCATGATGGTGATATAATACAAAATAATGATAATAATATAATAATGGTATCAATAATATAATGCTAATAATAATATAAGATGAAGAAGAAAAATAAGAAAAAAATATTTATAATAATAATAATGATAAGGATGATGGTGATGATATGATAGAATAATAATAATATAATAATAAATAATGAAATATAAAAACAATAATAAAGAAAATAAAGTAATAATAAAAGATAATAATTAATAATATATAATAATATAAAATAAAATAATAATAATAATATAATAAAATACATAATAATAATAATAATAATAATAATAATAATAATAATAATGATAATAACAATAATAACAATAATAATAATAAGAACAAGAATGATAATAATAAATAAAATAAAAATAACAATAATAATAATAATAATAATAATAATAAAATAATAAAAAAATAATAAATAATGATGATAATAATGTCAATAATGATAATAATAATGATAATATTAATGATAGTAACAATAATGATAATAATAATAATAATAATAATAATGATAAATAATAATAATACAAACAAAATAAAATACGTAATATTAACAATAATTATAATAATTCAGCGATCATAAAAGGCAGATAATAAAAGAAATAAAAGATTAAATAATTCCGTTTGTTTTCCATGTTTCCGGTTCAGCAAAATTTCTTATGTTGAGTAACTTTTAAGTTGATATTGTAAATTTTTTTTTGTCCAAAGAAATATCAAAAGAACTGTAATTGGACGTAGTTTTTTTTCCCGCAAAGCCAGATATTTTTATTCTTCGAAGTGATTAGGAATGAAAATAATAAATAGAATCAAAAAGACAATTTTTTTACGCCACGCCCTGGTGGACAGGACGACAAAAATAATGCATCCATGTTTATTTTTCATCCATTATCTATTTGAATTATTGGATTTCAGAACACGATAAAGCACCTGAATTTCTCAATGCTGTTTGCTTTCCGGGATTCACACCTAATTCAAAATAAATTCTTTCTGTTCTTCTTTCTTATCGTCACTGTTATGAATATAATCACCACGAAGCATGCGCAAATATGAATACTTTTCTTATATATATCTCACTTTTGTTTTTTCACTCTTTAACACTGGAAATAATGTGAAATGAAATATCGATAACCTGTAGCCACGTCTTGTTGTCTCTACACTCCACGAAGACTACATGAGCCGAACTATCTTATCTTTGGCAGGATGTGAACTGCGGTATCAAGTGCGTCATGTTCATAATTTTGTTCGGGTTTAAAATCAGAGAAAGAGAAAATATTCTCTGCTTTAGGGATTCTTCAACATCTTTCACTTAGCTTTCTTGATTTTTTGTAATGTTCGTTGTAAGAGCCGGTTTACGTAAGTGTGACTTCCAGGGCAGACGAACGGAATCTTACAACATGGCAATCTCACAGTGTACTTGGTCTGAACTTGTGATAACCTTTGTCTGAAGTATTTACTCTGCATGGTGATTCCCCTGAAATATGTTCAGTATATACACATTTTTGTTGACCTTTGATGATATTCCAATTAGACTTGATACCTGTGCAACGAAGGTGTGACTGCTTGTGATAAGTTTGTATAGTTTTATGACAGTACACCCTTCGGCCATAATTATATGGGTTGCGAGATAAGCTCCTTGGCTTTTGAAGATATAATTGTGGGTCTTTGCATGTCTGTCTCACCTTGTGCGTCCGCGCGCGCGTGTGTATGTATATGTATGTATGTATGAGATAGATTATGTACACGATACCCTCAGCTTTTTAAACCAGGTAAGCTCATGACCCCCTACTCTAAAATGATGATTCTCTTCTTCACCTTTCTTTTGTGGAACAAGAGAATTTGTCGAAAAAGGCTCAAGTAAACGACATGAGCAGATTAACATGGGCCTTACTCTTACTACTCTTCAAGCTTCTTCGAAATGAATGTTGAACACGGCATTGGCAGACCAGGAAAGGGTCAGGGACTGCATAATCTTTTTCTTGCTAAGTCCATAGACTGCATTTAATCTCCATTATCCAGCAAGGGGTATTAGCCCAAAATAGCCTGTTTACTACGTTTCATGAAGTCTTGACGAGATTGGCACGTCAAGTTTTAGTCCGTTTCTGTTGAGGCAATACCCCATTTTATGTGTGTGTACACGTTGCTATCTTTGTATCTGTGTTCTTAATTACTGTTCTCGAGTACCGGGATGCTAGACGGAGCTAGGGCACACCCCAGAAGCGATGAACAACATCGAACTCAAGGGTGGTCACAGTACCCCATAGGTGCAGTGTTGAAGAAAGCAGAGGGCACCGCATAACCTTATGAAGGAAAAATAAAGGCTTATGAATGAAAAAATTAAGGCTTATAAAGGAAAAAGGAAAATGGAAAAAACTGCGAATTGGAAAATGTATTGAAGAAAGTATTTCGGGTCAAGTAAGAGAACCTGTGAGCGTTATAGAGGGTAGGAAAATCAGATTTGTAATAAAAGAGAGATTGTGCAAGATGTTTAGACCATTGACTGTACAATCCAGGAGGAAATGCCAGATTAAAAAAAAGTTTATTGATTATACTGCTTCCTAAGTCCAGACTCTTATGACTGGGATCGCCAAAATAGGGACACACACACACACACACACACACACACACAACACACACAACACACACACACACACACACACACACACACACACACACACCACACACACACACACACACACATTCACATTCACATTCACATTCGAAAACACACACACTGCGGATTGTAATTAAAATTCACCTTAAGCCACCTTAATTACAAGAATCAATTTAAGTTGCATATTGTAAGATGAAGGATGGCCACACAGACCCTAGGATAGCACGTGTACCCCCCCCCCCCATGCTTGGACGCGCCCCTGTTTGTAAGAGTGAATGAGAATGAATCGATGTGTGAGAGAGATGACGATGAGACAGAGAGAAGAGAGAGAGAGAGAGAGAAGAGAGAGAGAGAGAGAGAGAGAGAGGAGAGAGAGAGAGAGAGAGAGAGAGAGAGAGAGAGAGGAGAGAGAGAAGAGAGAGAGAGAGAGAGAGAGAGAGAGATGAGGAGAAGAAGAGAGAAGGAGAGAGAGAGAGAGAGAGAGAGAGAGAGAGAGAGAGAGAGAGAGAGAGGAGGAGAAGAAGAGAGAGAGGGAAGAGAAAGAGAGAGAAAAGAAAAGAGAAAAGAAAGAAAAGAAAAGAAAGAAGAGAGAAGAGAGAGAGAGAGAGAGAGAGAGAGAGAGAGAGAGAGAGAGAGAGAGAGAGAGAGAGAGAGAGAGAGAGAGAGAGAGAGGGAGGGGGGGGGCAGGCAAACAGGTAGGCAGGCAGGCAGAAACAGATAACCAGACTAATTACACAAACTAAAAGCAAAATCTAACGTGCCCACAAATAAAAGAGAAAACGCATGTTTGCGACATGAGAGGCTGACTTTCCACGTTGAATCAAGCAAAATAAATCACACTCAAACCCAAAACAAATCAACTGAATACAACAATAAACGAAAATAAAAATATTCACAAACCAATTCCGGAAATCGTCAACATACATAGAAATATTTATGAAAATATCCATATAATTATGGAAAAGAACCATCGAAACAGTTCTCTCTCGCCGCCGAGGTAAACATTGGCACACATTGACAGGCGGTCAACTGGATTGTTTTAATAACAATGCCGGCTGCAGAGGAGTAAGTTGTGTTTTATCCTATTTACGGTTGAATGGTGATTGTTATCTAGACATTCGTTTGGTGCTGTGTGATGAGATTTGCTCTGGAGGAAGGATAAAGCAGGTATTAGGAGCGGGTCCGGGAGGGAATGTGTACAATCTGTTCCTATCAACTCTCTTTCACCATATTTCGTCAGTTGTAATACTTCCTTAAAATATATTATGTGATTTTATGCACTGGATAGCATACTAGAGGCAACTGTGATCATTATAACTTGATTATTTTGTTGATAGATATAAGAGATAGAACGATATGTTATAGAATAATGGAATGGAATGGATATGAATTGTTTCGGGTATTTTGTAATGGTAAAGATAGAGAACAGCTAAGCTAATGCTTCTATTTAGGTATAGAGTAGCTGTTAAAAAACTTAAGGGGAAGGTCACAGTTGCCGTAGTCTGCAAATCTACAGGTATGGCAGTCTATAGATTTGCTGTTGCCGTCACAGTTCGTGCTCTAGTAAGTGTGAACAGTATTCCACTGTGTATAGGTACCAGACTTTAGAGTTTGGTCAAAAGTTATTTGGTTAAATTCTGTCCGTGCAATTGTAGTTCTCGGGTAACTTTCCATGCACGCTTAGTTCTTTTCATCTTCCGCCCAAAATTCTTTTGCCCTTTCCGCGCACTTGTTTTATCATTTGTGTGCAAATGTAGACAAAATGATGTGTTCCACGCATGAAAAAATGTAATATTTCCCGCATAAGTAAAATACTCAACAGTCTGGTGTCGAACCTCCCCAAACCTCCATATTCTTGGCACTTAGAGCGAGGGAGGGGATGAAAGTTACCAAGGAAATTGAGCTAAAATATGTATCATGTACATAGAATCAGTCACTATATTATTGCAATCCCCTCCTGGGATGCTGCGGCCCCACATCCCCCACAATGGAAGGCAAAGAATCCTCCATGTATTCACAGTAGAATAGAGCATAGGGCCGACTTAGCAACAGGCATTCCTGCATTTAGATTATATGCTCTACCCTGCCGTGAATACGTGGAGGATTCTTTGTTCTCCATTGTGAGGGTCCTAGAGGGCACAGCCCAGTCTGAAACAGTGTAGTGATTGATTCTGTCTGTATTATTCATATTGTGCCCCTCAATTTCATTGTAACCATTTATGCCCTCCCCAACGTTTTGGGCCAAGATTGTTGCTAATGGGAAATCTGTGGCATGATATGAATATAATTGGATAGTAAAGAGTGAGAGGAATCCATGGTAATTGTCACTGATAGTGACGCACCCTCCCTGAGACTAAGTAAAAAAAAAAATTGATGTTTTCTGCAGGAAATCCAATGATTTCATTGATTTATGGGTGTTGTTTCTTCTGCGATTGAATCGTTAAGGAGATTGAGTACCATTTCGCCATCGACCATCTTGATTTGATAGTGCCATTAGCAGGGGAGGGCATGAAGTATATCAGGTAGAACTGGCTTAAATAAAAAGAATAACGAACAAAAATGGGTAAAACTAGTGTGCCCTTTGGGCACTACCCAAGGGGAAGGTTAATGGGGAGTGGAGCCCCCCATCACATTGTAAAATAATAAACCAAATACCTTTATATCTGGAAATGTCAAACTTTCGTTCGCTTCTTTCTACCGTCTGGATTGCTTCAATTTTAATCAAATATTACACCGGGATGGTTACTGAAGTCTAATTATTCTTTGTTGCCAATGTGTAAGTCTTAAAAATAACCCAGAACCAACACAACACTGGAAAGACAACTTTTCTCTATGGTCTTCTGTCACTGAATGGCCGGCTTTGAACTGTCAAACCTCGCAGCAGTGAATGAAAGTGTGAAATGCATGCTCTATAAACTACTCTACAACTAAACTAAACTTTTAGTTTAAATCTATAAGTTTAGTTTTAGAGTTTCGAGTGGCACACGTCAGCTCACAAGAAAACCTTCTAAGGTGCCACATTGTTTTGAAAGATAAGATGCTTCCTGATTGGTTGTTCTGTAGCAGCATAAGCCTCTGATTGTGGCAATATTTACAGGTTTCCCAAAGCAAAACCTGTTGTGTTTTCTGGTCTGGCCTTGATATCCCCCTCCCCCCCTCCCTCCCTCCCTCCAGGAAAAGTTTACCTTGTACCTTGTCAGCCACATGACAGTGAGACTATTCCATTTGACACAAAATATTAATAGTATTGGGGAGACATTTGGGGAGAAGTAAAATATATTTGGGAAACTACGGGGGAAATGTCAAAATGTGACTGAGAATGATGTATTCCATCATATGTAAATTCATAATGGGCCTACCCCAAGTTCCTGTTGCTTCAGCTACTGCTGAAAAATCCACAAACATTGCCATGTGAACCAAAAACCTTCTCAACGCAGGAGCTTGGCCCCCAGACCCTACCCAATTGCTATATTTTTGGTTCAAGAACTGGGTTGCTTCGTAGGCATAATGATGAAATGTACAACATGATTATGCTATTTTTTGATTGTATGATATTTACGTGTATACACTTTTTTCCAGTACAGTGAAGTCCAGTTGGGCAGATGAAGTCGAAGAGGTTGA